CAAACAAACTTCTTAGGATAATTTATTTCCCCACTAATGGCAAAGCCCAATTGATTTTCAATTACAAATATGATTAATCTAGAGAGCAAACAAGGCTGTACTAACTAGTTAGTTGCCTGATTGAATTAAATATCAAATGCAATATAAATTTCGTTTGCTTTCAATTCACAAAATTGTCAAAATGTTGGCTTTAATGATTTCGAAGCCGAATCAAAACATGATTTAGCTCAAATCCAATTAGAGAACATCTGCGAGTAGAGCATCTCCCATTTGCAAATTATTGCTGTTTTGGCCATGCAACGTGCGTCCGTCCCTTTGCTTGTTGCACGTTATTGAAATTTTAATTGAGTTCGCACCTGACTGACGCAGTAGCTCATCAAAAATTGACCTCTGGAATCGAAAAAAAAAAAAACGCATTCGGCAATTGGAGAGCAAATATGCGGCACATGCGACATAAGACTTGAATAAAATTCATGCAATTTTTCGGTGGTAATTCATTTAGTTTATTGCTGTCAATAAATTAATTCCATTTTCTCATTTGGCTGCATTTTCCAGCGGGCTTGTTCGGCAATCTGGCTGCCGCGTGGACTGTGTTATTTTTAATGGCATTTCTTTCTATATTCTTTTTTTTTCTCTCTCTCTCTCTCATCATGGCGCGGCATTCCGATGAGAAGCTGAAGCCGCAAATGCGTAAAACAAAACACAGCGCCACGGGCTGGCCGGGGAAGGAGACGGCAACAACTATGGGGCAGCGGGGGCGGAAGGGGGCAGAGGTGAGGGCTGTCTGGCAGGAAGGCGAATAAATAAATTTGTCAACAAATGCGGCATCCAGTGTCGCGTCGTGTGTGGGTGAGCCCCGAAGCTCGCGTGGATGGGACGACGGCACAAATAATGACGACAGTTGCGCATTAATTTCGTTTCACTAATTAATAATTTGCTGCTGTTATAATTTCAGTTGTTGTTGCTGCTGTTATGGCTGCTGCTGTCTGCTGTGAATGGGAATGGTTTATTGTCCTATTAGTTCGGCATTTAAATGGTAATCAAGGCGTGTTCTGTTGTTGTCCAGGTAAGCTCGAAGTCACGCAAAGTCACAAATGAAAGTCCAAACAACAAAAAGCACAAAGCCCAATTCAAAGCAACCGAGCGGAGCAAACAACTGGCCAAGTCACATAAACAAAATGCTCAGCATGTAGCTGAAAACAGGCAACAGCAACAGCAGCAGCAGCAGGAGGAGCAGCAGCAGCAGCAGGAGTATTTCTGGCTCTGGCCAAATTGAAAACGAAGAGGAAATCAATTGATATGTAGCGACAATCGATATGCCGAGGTGTGGTCTGCTCTGCTCAGCGGCGGCATGGCATGGCATGGCCCGTTAGCATTCGAATTGGTATTGCCATTGCTCGGTTGCCCAGCGCCGTCTGTGTGTGCCAATGGCCGAAAAACAGAACCGTCTGTGGCCTCAAACACGACCATGGGTATGCTGGTTGGCTTAGGGTGTGCACTGGTGGGGAGGGGTTGGGAGTCATTGTGGTAGGTGAGAGTTTGTCGTTCTGCTTTGGCACGCCCAGAAACCGCACCGCACAGCAACAAGGAGCATAAGCTGCCACCCCAAGCGGGCGGCGGCAACATATGCAGAGAGACGCACTGTAGCAGCCGTGAGACATATGAGTATATCCACTTGGTGTTATCCTGACAACGTGATTGAAATTTATGACTGGCAAAAATATACGCAGAGCAACAGCAATAGCAACAGCAACAGCAGCTGTGAAATATGAAAGGGAAAAAAAACAGACAGAGATAGAGATGTCCCCACCTCTCTCTCTATCGCTCTGTGAGCGCCGCAGCACGTGAGCTGAATGTGTCCAAGAGGAGAACATCTCTGGCTGTTCTGTGAGTTCAGTGAGAAATTGCACTGAATAAAAAGCACTTGTACGCATTAAAACCTAATTGGAAATTTCCATAGTTCATATACTATATACTCTAACAGTCTCTCTATGACTGTCTGTCTGTCTCTGTGCCTGTGTGTGAGTGCCCGTACTGCTCTCTGTGGCATGTTCTACATATTTTGGCTTTGCAAAGTGTCACACGCAGCCAAAGATGTCCGTTGAGCATCAAGCGCTGTCTAGTGATTGCCGTTGTTGTTGTTGTTGCTGCTAAAGTGGATTTTGCGTTTGGCTATGATAAATTGAGGGACAGTTGAGGGCAGCAGGAGCAGCAGCAGCAGCAGCAGCAGCAGCATCATCACCACCAACATCACCAGCAGAAGCGTATGGTCAGCATTAGAGTATGTTGGGAGCCAAACAGCCATATGAAGCACTCATCTAGCTACGGCATCCAAAGGCAGCGAAGAGCTGCAGCAGATGGCTGTTGAGTGTGTGCGTGTGTGGGTGTGTGTGCTGCTGCAGCTCACGACGGATTGGAGAGCAGCTTAGTATTGAATGAGAAGTGGTCAAATGTCATTCACAGTTGGAATAGAATTGCACTTGACTTTTCAAAAATATCGATAACCATGAATAACGAGCCAATAAACTGTGTGCATAACGAAGCAAATTAGCTTAAAATTTAAATGGATATCAAATATTTATGGAATATATAATAATATTTTAAATGGATATCAAATATTTATGGAATATATAATAATATATAATCTAGCATTAGAAATATTTCAATTTGATATCACAGCTCATTCATATACATATATATTTGATCAATCTCCTGCTTACATCTGTAGCACTTAGCCAGTAAACACTGTAGGCTATCGCCTCTTGCACTGCTCAATCTGTAATTTGATCAAATTCATCCAGATAAGCACCGACAAGTTCTATGTAATCGAATTAACTCAAGCATATTTCAATGTACGCCACTGCAATATCCTTGACACGAAGGAGCTTCAGGACAACTGCGCTGCATAGACAGACTGGAGCTGAGGCGGCGAGTATGAAGACCTTTGCCGCAGTCACTTGCAGAGATAAGCAAAGGGAGCCTCCATAAGCGAACCGCCTTCCGCTTGGCTTTGATTTATTGTTCTGCTGCGAAAAGGCTGTGCCGTGCTGCTGGCCTGGCACCGTTCGCCTGGCACGCGCTTATCAAAGCCGTCGGGAGTGCCGGGAGAGCGTCGAAAATTTATTTATTTGCAGTGACTTTGAAAAGAAACTTCGACCGTTGCGCTGCCTGACAGAAACTTTCGACCTGCGTGCGCATCGATTAGAAAACTTTCTGTCGTATCTTGTCGCCGAAAAACCCAAAGAGGAGTGTATGGGGGTCCTGAGCTCGAATTGGCCAAGTTGTTAAATAATTGCGCTGGGCATTTAGTTACCAACGGGGCAAGAGAGCCGGCACACGCTGCGTATGCGTCATATGCTAGTCGAAAGGAAGAAAGAAATTGCAGCTAGGAAGGCCGCTGCGGTCCATACGTGGCCCGGATTAGCCGCAAACTTTGCCAACAGCTTAGCGGCACTCGAGTGGATGAGTTAATTGTGCGAATGTCGAGACAAATTGCGTTAATGCGCCAAGCGCACAAAGGACACCAGCGACGTCGAACAAAAGGACGCAAAGAGCAAGCAAAGTTGTACATGTCCCGGCTAAATCCCATAAGCAAAGGTCAGAGCTGGGGCTGGGAGTGGGTGGCGGTGGGTGGGTGGGGACCGATTGCGCCGGCGATGGCAATGTGTGCGAGTGTCGCTAAAGTTTTTAAAAAGTATTTTAAGCAAAATTTATGCAAACCACAAAGCAAGCTGGCAGCCAAACAGAGCCACGCAGCCACGCAGCCACGCAGGCAGCCAGGCACTCAAAGGACATGGCTAATCCCCGAGTAATCAAAGTTTGGCAATGCCAAGCGAAACGAGCAGCGAAGCAAGCTGCAAGCTGAAAGCCAAATATACGAACAAAAGGCGCTAGCCCAGCAGCTCAGACAAATTGCACATAGACACAACACACACACACAAACACATGGGGAGAGACAGACAGACATGTGTGTGTGTGTGTGCTGAGTGAAGCTGGGAATGGGGCATCTGTCTATGCCCTCTGATGGGAACGAATGCAAAAAGAAAACACTTTTCCAATTAATGAAATCTCTAAACTGCCATAAATTTACCCAGACGCAAATAATTAAATTGTGTTGGTTATCACGCCTGCTGCACGCACACACACAGACTTGTTGACTTGCGTGTGTGTGTGTGTGTGGGTGAGTGACATGTCGAATCAATTGTGCATTAGCCATGCCCAGGCCACAGACCACAAATAAAAGCGTCTGCCGGCCAACGCTTAAGCCATCAAATCGACAAGTGTTCACACAGCGAGAGTTGCTCAGAGAGTTGCGAGAGTTAAGGAGATTAGATGTAAGCATTCTGTATTCATTATAATAAAAATATTTATTATTTATTTAAATATACTTCATATAATAATTTTATTATGTATATTAGTTTTCAAAAATAATAATATGAAAAAATCCAATTGAAATATATTTAAATAAATTATAAATATTTATAAATATATTATAAAAATATAAGAAATTGAATTATTATATAAAATATATTTAAATAATTAATATTAAATATTTGCATTGATTTGGCATGAAGTTTGCGGAATATTTGAATCTCAAGAGAGACGAAACTATGAACTTTTGATAACCATAAATTATGTAAATATTATATATATATATAAAAAAATCCCATGATTAGTAAATAATAATTATATGAGTATAGAAATTCTTTCAAAGTATCACGAAAGTCCTAAAGAGATTGAAAGAAGAGTTAATATATACAAATTTTTTGTATATATTATTTTTAATTTTATAAAAATATACGAGTACTGGAAATTAAATACTCTTTGAATACTTTATAATATATACCAATATTTGTAAGAATCAGATATTCAAAAGAAATACTATTTCAATATATTACATTATTTTCTCCTCTTATCCCACAATATTTGTCGGTAATTTATTGAGCTGCCCTCGCATTTGAGTGCAGCGCTAGTAATGCAATTAGAACGGTTGAACTCACCTGGTTGGCACTGACACTCGCCATTGGCCGCTGGGCTGCCTCCGAGGTTCGCTGCTGCCGCTGCTGCAGCCGCTTCGGCCGCCTGTCGGCGCTGCTGACGTCGCGTCAGCTGCAGGTGGGAGACGTCGCGACGCAGACGATGTAGCTCGCGGCGCACATGTAACACGAGGTGCGAAGATGTGCCATTCTCGCTGTTGCTGTTGCTATCGCTGTTGCTGCTGCTGCTGCTGCTGATGGGGCTGGAGAGGATTTGGGGCTGGTCGGCGGGCCAGTGCAGCAATTGCTGCTGCTCCAGGCGCAGCTCCAGCTCGACAATGCGTGCGTCCAGCTCCTGCAGGCGCTGCAGTCGCTGCTCGACACGCGTCTGCCGCACATTCGCATAGAGCGCAAAGCTGAACGCACACAGGCACAGCACATAGCTGGCGATGTGCAGCAAGGACATGAGCTGGACTGTATATCGCGGCCGTTCCTTGCCGTTGGCTACTCGAACTGTTGCAGATCGCTGCTGACAGGTGGCCGCTGGTGTTGCAAGGCGACTAGTTGGGCTTGTTGCAGCAGCTGTTGTTGCTGCCACTGCTGCTGCTGCTGTTGCTGCTGCTGCTGCTGCTGGCGTAGCGCTGTCAACAGCTGCATGGCCCAGCAACATCCGCTGCTGCTCCATATCGAGTGCTGTTGCTGCTGCTGTTGTTGATGTGGCTGTTGTTGCGATTGCTGTTGCTCTCACTGTTGCTGTTGCTGTCGTGCCTGCTGCGTTTGTGTCGTTGTGCACTGTTGGCATTGTCCTTGTCACGGAACTGGGACTGGAATTGGAATTAGAACTGATTGGGTGGCCGCCGGGCGGCGCTTTATGTTTGCGCATGCTGCGATTGAAGACTGTCTGTTCTCTGTTTTAAGCTAATGCTAGAGACGTTGCTGCTGCTGACTGAAATTGTTGTTGCTGCTGCTGCTGCTGCTGGTTGGACTGTGCTTAAGTGTGTTGGCGGCACTTGAAGTGTCCTTGTCGCATCACAAAAACACATGTGCTGCACTATGCCAGCTGCTCCTTTCCTTTCGGCTGTCGAGTGTTTGGCTATGTCCTTGCCGATGCTCTATTCCGTTGCGCTATTTGGGCAGCACATAGTGCCTGTAATGCCTCGACTGTTGTTGTTGTTGTTGTTGTTGTTGGTATTGGTATTGACGCTGTTGTTGCCACGGCATGCGAGCCGCATACAAAAGCTACGCGGCCATCGACTGTGTGGCTGCGTGGGTGGTCTCTGTGCGTCTCCTGCTTTCTTCACTTTTGGGCCACCAAACAACAACAGCAATACGAGAAAATAAAATGTCCTAAGCTGCTGCTGCAAAAAAAAGAAGAAGAAGAAAGTAGCTGCGTACTTTTGGGCGCTGCTGCCACTTGTGCCACTTGTCAAACTCTCGCCGTGGCTGCTTTTGTTTTTGTGTTGTCAATCGTCACAGCAGCTGCTTCTCCTGCTAGCTACTGGCTGGGCTCCTTGACAACTTTTCTGACAGCGCTCAGCGAGTTTGTGCTCTTCACGTTTTTCACTTCTCCTTGGGCTACCGCGCAGTTTTCACTTGTCCCACGAGCGCTCTTCACATTGCAACTTATTTAGTTCTTCAGCTCTCTGGGCACTGCAACAAACTGGAGAGCAAAGTGAAAAAGTCAGAAAATAGTGGGAAAGAAGAAGAAGCAGGGAAAAAAAACGGAAATTTGTCAGTGAAAAATGCGGGGCTGAAAAAGTTTACAAAAAAGTTGCCAGCAAATCGGCGCAGGCGTTTGCCGCATTGGCCATGCTTGAATTATGGCAACTGGACCCAGTCGACACATTTTCAATAATCAACCAGGCAGCGTCGCCAGGACGACATCCTAGCTGTGACGCGTCCTGGCGTTAACTTCGTTTTAAGTTCAGCCAGCCGTGTTTAGCGGCGAACAACTTGAGCCAGCTCAACTTGTGCCCAAACTTTTGCACAGCAACTGAAAAAACAACAAATACAAAAAAAAAGAGAAATACAAAAAGTACCCACAACATTGAGTGGGTGAAGTGGATGGGGGCACTAAAAGTATTTGACCCACAGAGTTGGCGTGTCAAAAACATTTGTAGCCTACGACTGTACAAAGTCTCCGGCGGACTGGGCTTGTCCGAGACGCTTTTTTAGCGGAACGCCAGTTGTACTCCCACCGAACAGACAGCAGGCAACAAACGGCATACGGCAGACGACGGACAATATAAAAACCATAAAACAGAATTATTGTCATGTTGGGAAATTTGAGAGCAGCCAAACTTGAATATGCTACGAATAAATAAGTTTTCAAGAATGAATCATTTATTCAAGCATCCGAGTGATGGTGTGAAAGACAGTTTTCTGAGCTACATTTTCCACTAATGGAAACAGAAAGTCTTGTTGAATATATATTTTTTATTTTATTTTTATTTAAGTGTTCATAAAAAAGAAAAAAAAGCAAGTATTGCATAAATGCGAATTTATTTTATTTCATTTTTATTTAATTATTTTCTGTATGTATAAAAACTCTTTAACGATTTTCACAATGTATCGCAGTTTTAGCTAATGAGGGGCTGCCTTAGATAAAGCATTTCTTAATTAATTAAGAAAAAAAGTTCTATTAAATATATTTATTTACAGTCGATTGCGTCTGATAATGCTATCTTCTCTGGCTTTGTATATCTTTTTATATACAAAAGGAAAAAAGGTTGAGTACCCAAAAAAAAAAAAAGAAAAAGTGCTGTTCAAGTATTATGTGCGCATCATAATGGATTATACAATACGTGCTTTGAATGTGTGTGTGTGTGTGTGTGTGTGCGTGTATATTGCGCAATCATGTGGCAACCACAACAAGAGCCAGCAGTAAGACAGAGGCTGAATCGCTCATAAAACTCAAAAACAATCGTATGAAAAGCGCACCACAGTACGCACCACAGCAACCACAATACAAAAATTGAGCATAAAAGTCAAAAGGCCAATTTCGATGAGCAGTGAGCCACAACAACAACAATGCGAGCAATAAGCAGCTTATGAAGCAAGCAGCGGGTGCAAGTCAATGGAATGTTTGGTACACCCTAATAAAACTAATTGAAAGTCTTGTGCGCTGTGGGGCCAATAATAATGCCAATAACAACGGACAGCAGCTACAACAACAACGCCAAGCTTTTAATTTAACAAATAAGAGCGAGCCAATCCAACAAAACAGACGGACAAATAGACAGACAGACAGACAGACAATTGGCCAGTGAAAAGTCAGCGAATTGACCCGAATGGGCATTGCTTTAGCGCTGACTCTGCAATCCCACGGAGGGACGGACATAGCAACTACGTGCATATATGTATGTGTTTGTGTATGTCTTTGTGGCCGCTGTCAGTTGGAGGTTAATGCTTTCTGATGCTAACTCAATATAAATAAATTGATTTCAAATTTCAACAGTTTGGCGCGCAGCTTTTGTCAATTACATGGATCTGAAGCAGCCCGGAGGGGCTTTGCCCCAAAAAGTATGCTATGAATTTTTGTGCGCTTAAATTCAATTATGTGTGTCGGTCATGAGTGAGCAAGCAAGCGAACAAGCGTGTGTGTGTGTGGGTGTGTGTGTGTGTGTAAGCAAACGCTGCTTAGCAAGCGCACACACACTCTAAAATTTATATATATAGAGACATCTCTGTGTGTGTGTGTGTGTTCAAGGGTAATGTGTGTCCAGATGGCAATTGAAAAATTTGATTTCGAATTGAAATGCAAATCAAGCAAAATAGAAAGGCATTAGTTGGACGAGGGCCACTGGACAAGCCAATCCTAGCACAAGAGTCCGGCTCAGCTAACTGGGCGCACAATGCTCAATAAAATGTGGCACGTGTGTGTGTGGGAGTGTGCGTATGTGTGAGAGTGTATCCACAAGCTGAAACCTAAATATAGCTAAGGGGCGTCAAGGGCTGTAAAAAGCTCAATTGCAATGCATTCAAAGGATTATTGTCCTTATTTATTTTGCTAAATTTATTCGTTACGCACAAATGCGCAAAACAATACACAAACACGCACACACACACACACACACAGACACCTAGACATTGCCTAGGCAATTGGCAAACTGAAGAAAATGAAAACATGAAAGGGAACACAGCAAAATCAAAGCAAATAAACAATAAAAATAATCGGGCCGTTAGCAACACATGCGCATTCTTCATCATCATCATCAACAGCAACAGCAACAACAACAGCAGCTGATGGCTCATAGAACAAGGAGCAGCGCCCAGGAGCAGCAGTTGACGCCTCAACAACCACCGGTCACATCACACACACACACACACACACACATACGCACATATATTGCCAGCATTATTGCTGCCACTACACACGAACAACAACAACAACAACAATCATCAACAACAGCCAACATCTTTGGGGCTGCTAAGTCGCCCCAGCCCTGGGGCCTTAGGTGCTGTTCGGGGTAATAAATAGTCGTCGTGTCATATGAAAAATGCAAGCAGTGTTTAAGTTTTTCTTGGCAGCCAGTTCCGGAAACATTGCCGCAGCCACAGCCACCTCCCCACCCACACCCTTGTGGATGTGCCATTTCCCAGCTCTATATATATTTCCACTCCACTTTTTGCTGCTTCATCGGCGAAATTGAAAAACGTTGGCCAAGCCAAAGTCGAAGAAGAGAAATGTAAATGCTTGACAAGCCAAAGGAAATCCAAACGAAGGCTTTGCCCTCATATCATTCACAGACCAGGTTGCTGAGGATGTGACAAGCAAATGCTATATCATTCAATCTACCATCAATTTCAATACCTGTACAGTGAGCACTGGAAATGTAAGCCAAATCACAGTTACATAAATAACAAGACATGTAAACAATTCTAAGATTTCGAGCTCGATGCTTTCCACGCATTTCAGGACAATGTAATAAAAACCCTAGCAAGCGTCTTAAATTTCCAGAAAAACAAATTTTTTGCAACTTTATCATTTTATGCGTAAATGATGTGATTCTGTGTCGTTCGCCCAAGCTCGGCTTTGGTAGCAGCAGCATGTCTCCCACACACACACACACGCACACAGACTGTGGCTGCTGTTGTTGTTTATGTTCTGGCCATTTCCTTATAATTTTTACAGCTTGTTTTGCTGCGGCTGCCGAAGCTGCTGTGTGTGCGTGTGTGTGTGTGTTTGCGGGACTTTACCAGTTTTTTTTTTATGTCTTGACTACATACACTAGTACAAACTATTAGTGCTATTCATTGTTGTAATCGCCTGTTGGGTCTTTGTAGTTTTATGTGCGCTGTTTTACAACACTGTCGCACGCCCACTCTCGAAACAACGGCATCCGGCACAACTTGCCCCTGGGAGAAATTACTTAATTTCGGAATTTCAATTTAGCACTTAAGACTCCAAAACATGGCGTTGCCGTCAAGGATTGGAAGTGGGCGTGGCATTCACACAGTAGCCCACCTACGTACATGCAGCAACAATGAAGAGTGTATGTGTGTGCGTGCGTGTGTGCGTGTGTAAGTCTGTGTAAAAATCCAACTTACACATGTTGTGACTTTTAAAAATTTCCGGAATTTTTGGCACGCAATGTTTGCTTTTGTTTACTGGCTACCAACTCGATGCTTCGATGCTCCAATGCTTCGATGCCTGTCATGCAGCCAGACGCAGCGTCTACTCCTCGACTCTTACCTTCCTCTGGCTCTGCTCTCCCTCCCTCCCTCCCTCTCTTTCTTTGCTCACTTCTCTCTATATATATATCTCTCTCTAGTGCACATATTGTACACTTTACAGCCAGCAGAGCGGCAAACTATGGCTAAGGGGTGAGCAGCACATTTCATGTGTTGCATTTGTTGCTGGTGCAAGGAATTGCAACTGCGACAACAGCAACAACAACAACAACAACAAATCCTAATACAAGTCTCAGTGTCAATGTCCATGCACTGACTGAGCATATTGGCAAGTCTGCTATCCAAGACAGCTGAATAGTTGATATCGTAACTAAAAAATGCACTTAATATTATATGAAAGACTCGAAGAGAATGGATATCATGGATACAGATAGAAACAGATTTCTCTGCATTGCAATGCCTTGGCAAAAGTTTTCTTGCTGCCAACAGAGTATTGCCTCGTCAGTCAGCCCACAATGGCAATGAGTTTTTTAATTCGAAATGCATTTAAAAAGAGGCAAAGCAAGAGAAATAAATTGAATTATTTTTAAGTAGTATAAGCTCCAAATAGAAAAAATCTACGAAACTAGTTATGAGGATTGGGATTTCTAGTTCTGAAGAAATAAAAAATATTAAGCAAAAAGAAGGCAACGTAATAAAAATAAATTGAATTATTATTAAATAGTACTTTGACATGATAAGAACTAACTAACTAATTCTGAAAATGGAGATTTTAAGTTCCAAAGAAATTATAGTAAATTAATGAATTATTATTAAGTAGTATACGTGGGCATGATAAGAAATCTAGGAAGTCAGATCTGAGGATTGGGATAAAAAAGCAAAAAGAAGGCAACGTAAAAAAAAAAATAAATTGAATTATTATTAAATAGTACTTTGGCATGATAAGAGCTTTACGAAACTAGTTCTGAAAATAGAGATTTTAAGTACCAAGGAAATGATAATAAAATAATAAATTATTATTAAGAT